AAAGGCAAATCTATAACCAGAACAAGTACCTATTTCAGTAAGGACAAAGTGTTGTCCTTTCCACCAGGAAATGGTCTAGTGTAGTCAACCTGTCACCAGGTAGCTGTCTGGTCACCCCTGGGAATAGTGCCACATCTGGGACTCAGTGTTGGTCTCTGCTGTTGGCAGATCTGGCACTCAGCCCCAATTGTAGCCAGGTCAGTCTTGGTGAATAGAAGTCCATGTTATTGAGACCAGGCATAACCTTCATCTCTGCCACCATGGCCACTTTATTTATGTGTCCACTGGGCAATGACAGGGATGGCTGGGCAAAGAGGCTGACTGTCCTCAGATCAGGTCATCCTATATACTAAGTTACTGAACTCCTCTTCTGCTGAAGCCATCTTTTGATGAGCATTTGGCTGGGACACAAGTACCTTCACATCCTTCGCCCATTTGCAGAGATCTATCCATTCTTCCCCAGATGTCTTTCTCACCAATTTTCCAAAATGCCCTTTCCAGGTCCCTGACCATCCAGCCAATCCATTGGCTACAGCCCGTAAATCAGTGAACAGTCACATATTTGCCCACCCCTTCCAAATAAAATGTATGACCACGTGCACTGCCCTAAGTTCTGCCCACTGTAAAGATTTCCCTTCACAGGGATCTTTCAGGGTTGTTCCAGAAAGGGGTTGTAATGCTGCAGCTGTCCACTTCTGAGTGGTATCAACATGATGTGCAGAACCATCAGCAAACCCTAGTCTTCTCTTCCTCAGTCAGCTGATCACAGGGCAGATTCTATGGTGCATGCTTGGCAGTAGACAGCATTGTAATGGGAGTAGAAACCATAGGCAACTTCTTTATGTAACTTGCTTGTGCCTTTAGGACCTGCTCCGGCCCAGTCACATATATACCACATCCATTTGACAATGGATTGCTGCTGTATACGTCCTACTTTATGACTCAGCTCATTCATGATGGCAGCTGGGGCCAAATGGTAACTTGTTAGCCCACTGTCAAATGTTCAGTTTCCACTAAGACCCAATAGCAGACCAAGAGCTATGTCTCAAAGGGAGAATAATTGTCTACAGATGATGGTAGAGCCTTGCTCCAAAATCCCAAAGGACTCTTCTGTGATTCACCTACAGGGCCTGCCAAAGGCTGCAAACAGCATCGCTATCTGCCACTGACCTCTCAAGTACCATTGGGGCTGCTGGATCATGTGGTCCAAGTGATAGAGCAGCCTGCACAAGGGCCTGGACTTGAAGAGCCTTCTTCTGTTCCAGGCCCTACATAAAGCCAGCAGCTTTCCTAGTCACCTGGTATATGGGCCAGAGTAATACACCCACATGAGTAATGTGTTGTCTGCAGAATCCAGACAGGCCCTCTATAATGTTGTGCTTCTTTCTTGGTGGTGGGAGGGGCCGGGTGCAGTAACTTAGCCTTCACTTTAGAAGGATTATCTCTGCATGCCCCACACCACTCGACTCCTAAGAATTTCACTGAGGTAGAAGGTCCTTCCTTGAATTTTTGTTTTTTTTTTTTCTCCTCTTCTGTTCTGCTGTTTTGTTACTGTTTTGTTCGTGGTTGTTGCTTCCTGCTGCTCACTTGGTCCAATCAGCATAATGTCATCAGTATAGTGCATCAATGTAATATTTTGTGGAAGAGACAGGTGATCAAGATCCCTTCTAACTAAGTTATAACATAGGGCTGGAGAGTTAATCCTTGAGGTAAAACTGTAAAAGTATACTGCTGGCCTCAAAGCAAATTTCTTCTAGGGGTCCTTATGAACAGGTACCAAGAAAAATATATTTGCCAGATCAATAGCTGTACACCATATACCAAAAGATGTGTCAATCTGCTTAAGTAAGGACACAACATCTGGTACAACAGCTGCAGTTGGAGTCACTATTTGATTGAGTTTTTGATAGTCCACTGTCATTCTCCATGGTCCATCAGTCTCCTGCACTGGCCAGATAAGGGAGTTAAAGGGAGATGTGGTGGGACCACCCTTGCATCTTTCAAGTCCTTGATGGTGGCACTAATTCCTCCAGGGTCATGATACTGTTTTTGATTCACTATTTTCCCTGGCAGAGTGTTGGAATCAACCAAGGTTTCCTAGTGGTTTTACCTAGCAGAACTGCGTAAGAGGATAATTGGGCCACGGGCCTGGGTACCAGGTGTTTGGAAGGGTCTTCACGTGGTTGTATCTAGCAGGGGGAGGTCTTTTTGCCTCACTCCTTGGCATTGTTACAAAAAGCCCTTTGGAATAAAGTTCTGGGCTGGTGGGTTTTGACCCAGGTCCTCCCGAGGCTATTCTGTGTTTCTGTCTTTCCTCTCATCGTCTAGGTCTCTCTTTCTATCTACAAATTTCTCATTTCTCCCTGCTCAAGAGTACTCTGGTCGTAAAAGTGGGGGCTGGTCCCCCACAGTAGAGGCAACTCTAAAGACCTCATTTACCCTTTCCAACCATAATATTCCCCAGTCCATGGGTGAGAACCAATGGGAAAATGCTGTTAACTTCTAAGTATGTCTATCTTGATTATATATTCTGGAACTGGGGAAATAACCACAGGTTGAGTTCGGGAACCCACTGGACCTGCTGTGAGTCCGACATCAGTCAAAACTCCATTAATCACCTGACCTCCATAAGCCCCTACTTTAACTGGAGGGCCACAGCATTTCTTGGGATTACCCGGAATCAGTGTTAATCCAGAGCCAGTATCCAACAGACCCTGGAATGTCTGGTTGTTTCCTTTCCCCCAGTGTACAGCTACACTGGTCAAAGGCCACAGGTCCCTCGGGGGAAGAACTGGAGAAAAGCCAACAATACTTGTATGTGTTTTATCAAGGGCCTTCCTCAGGGGAACCTGGCCATCCTTTCTTTCAAGGGGTTCTGGGCCTGCAAACTGCCTCAAGTCTGGTTCATGGGCCAAGATTCCCTTCTGCCACCATCCAATGTAGACTTCCTTTCATTTGTTTGAGAAATTTTTCCACTTACCCAGATCAAACAAAAAGGCAGTAGGCTTCTTATCTATTTCATGCCTGGAAACACTGTGATTGATTAGCCAGTACCAAAGGTCCACATAAGCAAAAATCACTTTGCCTTGCTGCCCATTATGAGCCAGGCCATCATGTATGATATTGCTTTGCCTATGTTGCCCATTATGATAACTATGATCATCTTGCCTTTGGCATTCAGTCCTGCCACCTGGCCCTGCTCCTTTGGGGCCCAATTCAACCCACTGCATTTAATCCATTTAAGCAGTGTCTCCAAGCCTAGGTCTGGCACAGGGAAAAGGGAGACAACAAAGCTCTTCAAATGCACTGGTGCCCTCTCCCCATTTTGTGACTTATAGGATTAATAAAGGGTATATATTGTGGAGGATTCGGTTTTACACAGCGTAGCCACTTTTAACATTGCAATCTCCCTGAGCCTTAACATCCCTTCCTCAACACTAAGCCCGGGGATATCAAGCACCTCTAACTCTGTTTCAGGAGGCCATCTTTTGAGAATGCTTCAGCCAACCACTCAGACAAACGGTCGGCACTCTTTTCATCTGTGCGAGCTTCCATATTGAACCTCGAATCTCCGCTCAGTGAGCCCAATCAATAAACTCAGTCTGGTCCAGTTTTACGTTCCTTCCACCATCATCCCACACCCTTAAAATCCATTCCCACACATAATTCCCCAGACTTCTCCTTGAATGAATTAGCAAGCTCACTAAGCTCTTTAGTGGTGTAGTATACCTCTTCATGGACTACACTTTCTATCTCCAGGAGCCTGCTTAGCCTGGAGTCTGGTTATAGTCTAGAGGCAACTATCGGTGGGCCCTGAGGCACATCACTGGTGTCTTGCCTGGCATTTCCTTCAGAGAAAGTTACTGCTGGGTTAGCAGACAGTGAAGGATTAATTTCCTCAGTCAAAGGCAGAAAAGGCAGTATTTCAGGGGTTGGGGGTGGGAATACGTCTTCTGCTGAGGGAAAGTAGAGAGACTGCTTCCTTAGGTGAGATTAAACCCTTGAGAATCTGAGAGTTCAAAGTTCCCAGTCTCAACGGGGTCCTCCCACACATCCCCATCCCAAGTTACAGAATCCCATTCTTTATCAATGAATGCCCTACTCTAACCACCAACACCCTCTGAGGCTGGGACTTGAATTTTCACTGTAATTCAGCCAGCCCTATAATGAGGGCTTTGGGCTGATTTTCTGAAACTTGAGCTCTGTGGCCTCTGGAGAGAAGATTCTCTTCCAGGACACATAGAAACCTTGAGACTGTATTCACACCTGGAGTTGGTTAATTTTATCAGTGAGTTCACTGTCCTTCACCATATTCTAAGATGCTAGAACTTGGCTAATTTTATCATGGAACTCACTCTTTTCCTTTGTCAATTTATCCAGATGTGCCAGGAGCAACTGACCAGCATCATTTTCCTTATTTTTCCACAAATTGTCAAAAGTTGAATATACAGAGTCACCAAATCCATTTTGCTTCTCACAATTGGTGAATCAGGATAATCAAATACATTCATCTCCTTAATCTTGTTTCGGTTTGGTTGTTTGTTTTGGTTTTTGTTTGTTTGTTTGTTTTGAGACAGGGTTTCTCTGTGTAGCACTGGCTGTCCCGGAACTTGCTCTGTAGACCAGGCTGGCCTCGAACTCATAGAGATCTGCCTGCTTCTGCCTCCTGAGTGCTGAGACTAAAGGCGTGCACCACCACCGCCCAGCTATTGTCTCCTTAAGTTTGTAAACTAGTTCACATCATGGGCTCTCAGTACTGTGCGAGCTCCTAGGAGAGGCTTCAGTAACTGGAAAGGCTTCGGTGGGTTTTGGCAAATTGGAAAGTTATTCAAGCTACTTTTTTTTAAAAAAAGTCATCCTTATACTTTCTGTTGCTCTCGAACCACTTCTGGTGCCAAAAATCTGTATCTGTATTAGACAATGTCCTCTAAAGGAACAGAACTTACGGGCGGGGGGGGGGGGGGGGGGGGGGGGGGGGGGAGAGAATGGGATTTATTAGGATGGCTTACAGGCTGTGGTCCAGCTAGTCCAGCAACGACTGTCTACCAGCAGAAGGTCCAAGAATCTGTAGTTGTTCAGTCCATGAGGCCGGATGTCTCAACTCATGTTCAGTATTTGTCAGAACTGTGAAGAAATAGCTTCTAATGGCGGTGAAGGAGTGGAGTTGCCAGAGGGAGAGCGAGGGCGGGCAGGCAATGAGCCAATGCTTCCTTCTTCTGCGTCCTTTACATAGGCTGCCAGCAGAAGGCATGGCCCAGATTAAAGGTGGGTCTTCCCACCTCACAAGATGTGGATTAAAGGTGAGTCTTCCTCTTCAAACAATTTAAGAAAAAAAAAATCCCTCACAGGTGTACCCAGCTGCTTGGCTTTAGTTAATTCCAGATGTAGTCAAGTTGACAACCACGAACAGCCACCACAGCGTGTATCCACATGTGTGTATACGTTACAGTTTGGATAATAAGTTGTATCCTCCAAAAGCTTGTATGTTGATGTCTTGGTCCCTAGTTGGCAGCTCCAGTCATTAAGAGAAATGGCTGTGACTCCATTGATGAATTAATTCATAGGTACAGTCAATGGTGTCATAAAGAGAGTGGCCTCGATTCAGTCATGCTGTCAACAAGGCCCAGAAACAACATGGGCAACAGCATGGACTGAAAACTCTGAAACCAAAACCCAAATAAATCATCCCTCTTTCCAGTTGTCTCTCTGAAGTATTTGTCACTCCAGCAAAAAGAAAAACAATATTAATTATTACTTGGTGGAGAGAGCAAAACGTATCTAATAATAGATGGACATTTAGATACATGTGTATTTTTTTTTATGCTGTAGAGAATGCCTGTTTAAAGAGAGGCAATGGGGGTGGGAGGAGGGAAGAGAGGGGGATCTGTGACTGGTGTGTAAAATGAATAAAAAATTTCTTAATTATAAAAAAAGAGAGGCAATTAAATGTAGTTGCTGTAGGAGGGTGTGATCATTGAGGACCCTATTTCTCTTATACATTTTCATCTGCTTTGGTTTTTCTAAAGGAAAAGCCATTGTGACAGTGCATCAATCAAGAAACAAAAGACAAACATTCCACATTCCAGGCCCTTCTCCTGCTGCCCTAGTCCACAGATATCCTCCTCTGATGGCCATGGGCTGGTCTCTTGGGAAATTTGCCTCTTCCCTGTGCTGGGCAGCATCTACACTCAACCTTCCATGTACCCCATTCCTTCAGCTAAAGAGACCTACACAGGCTGCCTGTCAACAGGAGTACTTCTAGATCCCAGCATCTCACAGAAGCAAGGCTTCATCAAACCTGAGAATAAAATGTTGGCTCATGTATCCATATTTTCTACCAGAAAAGGAAGCAAGTATCCGCCTGCTCGTCACACGGCTCTCTGTTCACATCAACGTTGAATCTGGGTTTATCCAAACTTTTCTACTAGAATATACTGTCCACAAAAGCAAGGAGTTTGTTCTCGTTTAGGTTCAGTGCCCAGACCAGCTTTGTGTACCTAGAAGGCACTTGGTCAACATTTATGTCATGAATAAATATATGCAGCCTGGTGTATTCAGCCACTGGTCTTCAGCATGGTATCTACACACCAAAGACCTTCTGTAAGTGTTTGAAGAATTTTTAAGTCCTCGAGATTCTGTGTACACACTGACGGACATATAGGCAAGCATACTTTTGTTGTTGTTTTCTTCTTGATACTAGCTCACGCCTTTAATCCCAGCACTTGGGAGGCAGAGGCAGGCGGATCCCTGTGAGTTCGAGGCTAGCCTGGGCTACCAAGTGAATTCCAGGAAAGGCGCAAAGCTACACAGAGAAACCCTATCTCAAAAAAACAAACAAACAAACAAACAAAAGATACTAGCTCTAATAAACCAGGGTAAGGAATTCTGCCCTGCCTCTCCCTTTGTTCATTCCCTGCCTCACCTTTCTAAGGTGTCCAGAACCTTTTTGCAGTTAGGGACTGGGACACCTTCTCTGGCTGCTAGCAAGCTGGGCTGCAGGGCTCATTGGGCAGCACTGAGGACTTCGTGTGAAGGTGGAGAACCGGGTTAAGTAGAAGAGAACAAACAGGACCGGGTTAACACACCCCTTCCAAGATGATATTAGAACTTTGATCTTGAAGGAAAGTGTCCCGAGTTTAAAGGCCTCTTCTGTGTCCTCCCTCCATCAGCAAGCAGCGTCTACAAGCCACCCTGCCCCGAGACTCTACCAGGACTCAGGCTAGTCTACAGCTTATTGTAAGTCACTCTTCAGTCTAACTTCTTTTGTGCAGATCCTCTCTTAGCACAGAATACTCTCAGCCTGGTATGGTGCTGCAAGCCTGGAATCCCGGCTCTCCCGGCTCTCGGGGGAGGAGCTGGGGCAGAAGGCTCACAAGTTCAAGGTCAGCCTGGGCTACATAATAAGACCTTGTCTCAAAAAGCAAAACAACCAAAGTTTAAAAAGTCAAAGAATAGTCTTTAAAAGGGGCATAGAACTAAAGTTACATCTGAAGCAGTCTAGAAATCATGCGGTCCAACACCCTCTTTCCTTTCAAATAAAAAACCAGACCCCGGGCTTGGGATATAGCTAGTTGGTAGCATGGCTGCCTAACAGGCAGGAAGCCCTGAGTTTGATCACCACACCACACAGACAAGCTTGGCCACTCATTCCTGTATCCCAGCATCTGGGAGGCAAAGACAAGAAGATCAAAATTTGTAGTTCATCCTTAGCTACACAGCAAATTGGAGGCCAGTAGGGGATACATAAGACCTTGCCTCAAAATAAGTTAATCAGCTCACTGATTAAATTTTAAAATTAGACTCAAAGGTGACTGACTGCCCTCCTGATGACTTTCCATAGTCTGGACTGCTTATTCTCCTGCCCGCACTCATCACTTCGGGCGACAGAGATACCCAGGACACTGCGTATCTGTACTTACCATCCAACAGCCAGCTATACTGTGTGAGGTTTTTCAGCTCGTGGAGGGCCAGCCGAGTCATGACATCATCTGGGATGAGCTTCCCTTGGTCAATGAAAGTCTTGGCCAACACACCAATTTCTACAGCAGAGGGAAAAGCCAGTGAGTGTGTTTGCTTTATCAAACTAGTCCAGATCTCAGGAACTTGTTTTCTACAGGATGCTTCCAAACGTCAGGCCTATGAGAAAGCGCATTATTAACAGCTCTTCTGCTACAAGCACAGGTTATGCTGGACATAGTGGCGCACACCTGTAATACCAGCAGGAAAGCCAGCCCCAGGTACATATACAGGGCTGAGGGCCGTTTGTGCTACAGAGGGCCCTGTCTCAACAAAACCAACCAACCAACCAAAGGGAAGCAAAGACAGTATGAATGCCCCAAATTCAACCCCCACCTAGTCTGCGTGTGTATCAAGTCCCAGGCCATCCAGGGCCATATAATGAGACTCTGTCTCAAAAGAACAAAACCAAATGGGTGTGGTGTGGCGGTGCACTCAGAAGGCCAAGGCGGGAGGATTTCCACTAGATTGAGGCCAACCTAAACCACATGGTGAGTTCCAGGCAGCCAGAGATACACAGCAAGACCATGTCTCAAAAACCACAAACACAATAAGGGGCAGGAGGAGGGAAGGTGTTGTGGATATCGCTCTGTATAAATAAAACACTGATTGGCCAGTAGCCAGACAGGAAGTATAGGTGGCACTAACAGAGAGGAGAATTGAGGGAACAGGAAGGCATAGAGAGAGAGACCGCCTGGAGCCACCACCAGGACAAGCAAGATGTAAGGTACCAGTAAGCCATGAGCCACATGGCAAAGTATAGATTAATAGAAATGGGCTAAATATAAGAGTAAGAACTAGACAATGATAGGCCTGAGCTAATGGCCAAGCAGTTTAAATAATATAAGCATCTGTGTGTTTATTTTATAAGTGGGCTAAAGGACTGCCAGGGCTTGGCGGGGACCGGAGAGAAAACTCCAGCTACAAGAAGGACTGGGAATTTAACTGAGCTTTTAAAGTGCTTGCTTAGCATGAAAGAAACCTGGGCTTAGGTCTCCAGCATAAGACTGAATGTGGTGGGTGAACATGCCTATAATCCCAGCACCAGGGATGTGGAAGCAGGAGTATCAGACATTCAAGCTCATCCTCAGCTATACAGAGAGTTCAGAGCGCACTCCAGAGACCCTGACTCCAAAAAAATAAAGTAAGCCTATTCCTAATCATGTAGTATGTACAACTATATAAACACTAATGTCTACATATTTCACTTTTCTACAACTTCTAAAAAAATTTAGTTAGAAAAAAAACAATACTACAGAAGGGCTAATGAGGGTGGTAGCTCAGTCAGTAAACATTTCCCTGAAAGCGTGAAGACTTCAGGTCAGTCCCCAGAATCCAAATAAACCAAAAGCTGCTGTGGTGGCATGAGCTTGTAATACAGCATCAGGCAGCAGAAACAGGTGGATCCCTGGGTTTGCTGGCCAGAGAGCCTACCTTACTTGGTAGGTTCCAGGCTAGTGAGAGGCCAAAGAAAAAAGTGGATGATTCCTAACTATGAACTTACCATTACTAAGAATTTATGGTTACTAAACCAGCTGCCATTTGACAAGCATACCACCAGTTTACAATGTCCAGGAGAGGACCTGGGTTCTGGGAAAGTGTCCTCCAAACCCACTAAAGTTTGGAGGGGCTTGAGATGTGGATCTGCTGGTCAGAGCACTTGCTGCTCTTTCAGAGTACCTGAGTTCAGGTCCCAGCACCCACACTGAGTGGCTAAAAACACCTGTAACTCCAGCTCCAGGAGATTCATTGCCCTCTTCTGGCCTCCCCTGGCATTGCACTCACATGTACGTACACACACACACACACACACACACACACACACACACTAATAAAAAAAAAAGAATATTTAAAGGTAACGAAATAAAATAGCCTTTGGAAAGTTCCATGTCCTTAATATGTAGACTTCATTTGATCACTTCTTCTTAAAAATTATGTGTAAGGGTGTTTTGTCTACATGAATGTCTGGGCACACGTGTGCATACCTGGTTCCCAAAGAGGCCGGAAGAGGGCCTCAGATCCCCTGGCACTGGAGTTACAGATGTCTGTGAGCTGCCACGTGGGTGCTGGGGATCGAACCTGGTCCTCTGGTAGAGCAGCAGTTCTCTTACTGTCTGAGCCCATCTCTCCAGCCCCTGAATGTGCTTTTAATTCTACCCCTACCTAGTTATAAAACCTTCAGGTACCGACTATTTCACAAGAATTACATTTTAAACAAAATATTGAACACCGAAATCTCCCTTGGCCATCGTTCCTCTCTCCAGCTACCACACAGCTTGAAAGGCTTCCTCTTCCAGACCTCTGTCTCCGGCTCCCTCCTCACTGGGCTTCAGGACAGAATTTCAGCCCAGCTCCACAGGTCTGGCCGTGGTACAGCACTTGCCTAGCATGCACAGGGTCCTTGAGTCCGCCTCCATCCTTCTACCTCTTCCCTCCCTCACCTTGCACTCTTCCCTTCTCCAGGCACCACACACACACACACACACACACACACACACACACACACACACGGAGAGTAACAAACCCCAGTCCTCTTAGTTTTGGCTAAAGTCCTTTGCTCTTTCTTTTGATAGAGAATCAGATTCATCACCAAGTTTGGGATGTGGTTTATTCAAAACAAGCAAATTAAAAGATACAGATATGTGTAAGGGTGGCCAGACATTCATGAGCCAGAACTCATTAAAAAAAAAAAGTCTGGTGCGCAGAGAAACAGTGTTAAGAGGAGGTCGAATCTCTGAGAGGGGTTTGGGTCCTGAGTCCACCCTCATAAAGGGATTAATGATGCTGGGCGAGCGAATTCTCCGAGTGAAGCCTGGGTAACTGCTTCCTGTGGTTTCTCTTGTCACACATCCATTTGTTCTTCCTGGGACAACCCAGCACAGACCTTTGCCAGTGGCAGCCACCAGATCTCGGCACTTCCGATCCCAATAACGGTGCACTGGATAAGCTTTTTTATTTTCTTCTTTTTTATAAATTATTCAGTGTCTAGTCTCAGCTTATAACAATGAAAACAGAAATTATTTTAAAAGACTCTTATGGCAAGACAGCATCGACCTCCTAAGTAACCAAAAGTTTCCCTCTAGGCTCCTGAAATGTCACAAGTGCTCTCGAGCTTACTGGTGTGTGTGTGTGTGTGTGTGTGTGTGTGTGTGTTCTCTCTGTGTCTCTCTCTTTCCCTCCCTCTCCCCCCCTCTCTCCCCTGAAACCTGCTATGGACTGAGTAGTCAGTCCCAAGTCCATATGCTAAAACCCTAACCTAACCCTTACAGTGACTATATTTAGACTGTATTTACCTTTAAGAAGGTAATTAAGGTTGAAGGGAGTCATAGGGTGGGGCCTCAATCTGATAGAAACTGCGTGTAAACACTGAGGAGGAGACAGCGAGTGCCTGAGCACAGAAGAAAGGCCAAAAAGTGAGAACGTCCAGAAACCAACTCTTCCAGAGCCTTGGTCTTGGACCTCTAGGCTCCAAAAACAGTTCTGCTATCTGAGCCACCTAGTCTGTGCTATGATGGCAGCCACTGTGACTAACACACATCCATGTGTCTGCCTGACCCCAAATCCACACCGTGATTGTGAGCACCTTCAGTGAAATCCCCCACTCCGTGTGCATGCCTAATGGACCCATCCATCAGTGGGCAGATGGATCAGTACGTGGGCACACAGACAAGGGTCAGGATTCTCCTGAGGTCCAGCTATGGTGTTTTATTAAATATTAATCTATGAATTTGGGCAGTGTGCTGTGGGGGACAGATGAGAACAAGATACAGTGACAGCTATGCTTGAAAACATCAAAAGGAAACCTTTGTTTTGTATATGAAAAATGAAAGAAAAAAACCACAACAATTTAGCAGCTTACTTTTTGTGGCAGTAGTCCTAAACCAATTTCTCTTTTTTAAGATTGCTCTGAATTACTTAGACACAAAATAATGAAAAAAGGAAGCTAATTCAAATATCAACTAAACACAATGTAAAACATCCATATAACACAATAAAAAGTAACCAAGTCCTAATATTCCAGCATGAGGGGATCTTTAAAAGCCCAAGTCAAGCTCAGCACAGTGGCATTCACCCCAAGTTTCAGCTCCCAGGAGGCAGAGGTAAGAGGATCACTTGAGCCCAGATTTCGTCTTCAGCCTGGGCAACACAGTGAGACAGTGTCAAAACCACAGACCCAGCCCGGAGGTCAAAGATGCTTGCCACTGAGCCTTACACCCTGAGCTGGATCCCTGGACCCACATGATAGACAGTGACAGTCCACCCACCCCAAGTTGTCCTCTGACCTCCACATACATAGTCTGGCACATATATACACAAGTGCACATGCACTCTAAGTAAATAGATATAATTAAGACAAATAATATGCTAAGTGAAAGAAGCCAGAGAGAAAGCCTGCAGACTCCCATTTCATTTCTGTGACGTGTCCAGAAGGTGAGAACTGAAAGATACAGTACTGTTGCCAGAGGGTTGGGTGGGGTGGGTGGGGATGGCAGTGACTCATAGGTAAGAGGTTTCTTTTGTGGGTAATAAAAATGTTCTAAAATCTGTTGTGGCGACAGTTACCCAACTGTGATATACTACGTGCACTGGATTTTACATACATACACTTTAAATGTTGAAGTTCCATGGCAGTGAATCATGCCAACCAGGCGGTGCTAGGGGAGAAATGAGGCACTCCTGGAAAGCACACTGTTGACTGTTGAAGGTTCTGTACATCATGGACTTGTGCTCCCACTTACAGAAAACACTAAGGGAAGACAGGCTAGCGTCAAGTCATGTGCGCATATTTTTTTTTTTAACCGAGAAAGGGTTTCTCTGTGTAGCTTTGCTCCTTTCCCAGAACTCACTCTGTAGCCCAGGCTGGTCTCAAACTCACAGAGATCTGCCTGGCTCCTGAGTGCTGGGATTAAAGGTGTGTGCCACCACTGCCCAGGGCATGAAATCTCTTACAAGGCTCTCATCACTAATTATTCGTTTAGATGTCTTTTTGGAATTCCAAACCATGTAAATGTATTGACTATTACAAATCACCATTATAAAAATAATCTGTTCTACCATCAGTCTCTGTCTTGTTTATATACACTATGCTTCGTGGGTCCACACAACGATGCTTGGTCATATGGACACTTGGGGACCCGAGATAATCTCCTGAGTTAGACTCTCCCAACATACAGATGATATTTAAATGAGATAAAGGGTCAGCCCTCTAGTCTGGCACCACAAAGAAAGCACCCACCAAGGGGCCAGACTGTGCCACTCAGATGCTCACCTTAGGAGGTCTGCCACATCTGAATTCTCACTATGTTTCCTTTAAGCAACACACCTTTTAAAAAAGCTAAAATGTTCACAAAATACATGGTTTTTTTTGGCAAATACACTCGAAATAAATAAAGAAAAAGTCTATCTAAAATGACCTCATGAACCTTAACTTGGGAAGTACTGCTCTGTGGAAAGAATATATAACAGGCACTTGAGGCCTGGGTTTCCACTCTGGTGCCCCAGAACATGCTGTTTAGTTTCATTTGGGGTTTTGTGTATATGGGAGGGGGTAGTTCATGAATTTGAATCTCACCCTTGTCTGGGCCCATACTAATGGATTCTGTAGCATACCAACTTCATATGTGCATATGAGCATAATGGATTCTGTAGCATACCAACTTCATATGTGCTACCCAGGTGAGTAGAGAAAGGCTGTTTATCCCTGAGGGAGTTCTTCAACCTCTGTGGCACTCAGTTTTCTCATGAAAGGAATGAGGATTACAGTAACAGTGTGAGTCTCAGATCCCAACCTTCTGACTCCACTGTCCTGGTTGGTGCTCTAGGGTCTCAGACCTGCAAGTGTCACCAGGTCACCCAGTGTTTCCAGAGCCATTATTATCTCTCTGGGGCTGACTGTTTTTCTCACGTACACTTTTTGTCTTAATGAATACTACCCACAACTTGCATTTTAAATCAAACGTAAAGCTGAGGAAGGGATCTAGGTCCAAAAATGGGTAACAATGAAGCGATTACTGCCGGAAGGAATAGATCCTCCCGCTGCCACCAAACACATTTTAGACGACTATATAGTCGGGCGCTAGAAAACAGCACTTTCGTGACATGATGGTTTGTTCCTATGCCACACTTGGAATTTAGTCAAAGGAAAAAGAAGCAAAGTTGCAGCCAGCTGTTCGGGTGCACAGCTGTATTTATTACAGCAGAAAACAGCTAACAACATAAATGTCCAGGAAATAGGGGTCTGCAGAGCCAGCTCTGGGGTTCAGTGCTTCCTTAGCTTGCACAGGCTCCAGATTTGGTTTCTGGCATCGGAAAGAAAAAAAAATCAATAGCTGATAGCAAGGGCAAAGTTTAAATTAATTGTGCAACCTTCCTGAAATTAAGTTTGAGACGTGCTCACAACAAATGAGAATAAAAAGCATCTAATAACGATTGTACAACTGCACACAGATGCAACCCGGAGAAAGAGAAGAATCAAGAAGGCACCAAAAGCTAACCAGCCATGTCCCCTGGAGAGGCCAACGCACAGGAAGTCAGTTTCCTATCCTGAATTCTCAGGCCCTTTCTTTCTTACCATTTTTTTTTTTTTTTTTAAAGATTAGTTCTCCTTTGGCTGTGTCTTTGGGAAATATCCAATCCTTTCACAAATATTTAATGGGACTGTATTCTCACTCCTGACCTATGGGACATGCTGGATACCATTTAGTGAAAAATACTCTGCAGAGCAAACTATTAACATCTGTGAAAACAATCTCATGATACTCCCAAGCTTCGTCTTCTGTTCTTGCTAAGGCATTGCCATACTTCTTTGAAGAGCAAGTGACCCGACCATTCTAGGACCTGCCAGTTCTGGATTTCAGGCATCAGCCAGATGTGGAAACCATCCCTAGGGGCCTGGCCGGGGCTTCCCTCTGAGATCTGTAACTTTTCCCAGCTGAACAGACTAACCTCCTGTGTGTACCTTGAACTTTGACCTGCAAAGACTTCTTTCACAAACCTTAGTTCTTCTAGCAGGGCCTGGTGGGTCTGTAATCCCAACACTCATGAGATTGAGGCAGGAGGATTGCTACAAGTTCAAGACCAGCCAAAGCTACTGTGAGCGATCCTGTTAAAACAAAAAACACCTACTTCTGATAATGAATCTTTAAGGTTTTAAGAAAGTATTTGTCTCTCTGTGTCTTAAAAAAAGAGCTGCCCATTAAACTACAGAATGAGCCACTGAACATCTCTGCGCCCCCCTCCCCCTTCCATGTTCCAGTTGCCATTCCTGACTCTTGCAGGTATTAAAATGAAGCAAGGAGCACTGTTGCTTTATTCAAATGCCCCTTCATTTACTCCTAAAATGGTCTGTGTTTCCTGAAATCAGTGAGCATTCTTTACCACTCAGTCAGGTGAGCTGAGTCAGCCTGCAGGTCATCCCTAAAGTCCTTCTCTGTACTTTGGATAGCAGCAAACCAACCAGGCAGTCTCCAGGACTGGGGACTGTTTGGCCTCCATAAAATTGCAATCTGTTGCACTACGAACATTTAGCAAGAGTCAAACAACCTTTTGATAAAGTTTAATTAACTGCAACCTTTATTATTTTTCAAGGTCAACATCAGAAGAGAACAAAAGCAGGCTCCAGGGGTGTTGAGGAGCCAACCAAAGAAACTCAAAACAGTGTGTGGATTCCCCCCACCCCATGTGAAAGTCAGTGTCTTTTAAACAAAAACAAAAAAAAGCACCCTTTCCTGCAAAGTAGTTATGCACCCTTCAGGAGGAAGGGGACAGGTAAAATAAATCAGGTAGATTCAGCAAACGGGTGGCTAAACCAACAGGGTAATGGCCATATGGGATGACGGACTGGATCACAGTGTGAAAACAGGGAGCTGAGTAAATATATGGTAACAAGATTCAACACAGAGAGTACACACAAGTGCTTGTACATAAAGAGACACTTCCGGAGGGAAATGGATTGTTTCTCTCTGAAGAGCAGGACAGGGCAGGGACTGAGACAAAGCTTGGCTTTTACTTTCTTTCCTTCTGGTTTCCCTTCTCTCCAGGACCTTTACTTTCTTCTTCCTTTCTTTTTTCTTTTACCTTGAACAGGTATTATTTCTACGTAAATGAGCTTCAAATGAATTTCAAAATAGGCACTAGTTTGGAAATGAAGGTCAACGAACCCGCTATTGTGAAGAAAACATTTGGGGTTCACTTTTTAAAAATAGCCTGCAGCTGTTAGTTGGCTGGCGCCTGTAATTCCTGCACTCACTAGGGAGGCTGAGGCAGGAGGATCTCAAGTTAAAGTTAACTTTAGCTACATCGAATGACACTGTCTCAAAAAATAAATTTAAAATGCTTTTCTTAAAATAGAACTTACCACAAGCCCGTCCATTGTAAAGTGGTTTGTTGACTAGGTTTATGCTGAGTTAGAAGAATTTGGCAAGAGAAACACAATCGTTTATGTAACCGTGCACAAGGATAACTTTCGTGCCTAAGAAATGTCTGCGGGCATCAAAATCTAAGCCAATTTTGTGTCTGCAAAAAGAATAAATAATACTTGACCTTGAAGAAAGGTCAGGACTACAAGATCCCACGGAGTTTACCAAGGACGGGAGTCGGGCGGGGGGCGGGAGTGGGGGGGATGTAGAAAAGAAAGTTAACCCTGGCAGAGTCGAAGCCTGCCTTCCGAGTACTAGGACACGTGGTAGAGCCGGGTACAGCTCCCCAGGCTAGGCCCCCCTGCAGCTGCCAGCCGGGTCGGATGTGCGCCTAGAACAAGGCCGAGGGCTTTCCTTCAGTCTTTGAACTTTCTAGTCCCACCCCCACCCCACCCCACCCCCGCAATCGACCCGAAGCTGCCCACCGAGGTTTCGGCTTTCCCCGGGCGAGATCGGGGAGCGCTGCAGGACCCTCGACCCCGGCCCGCAAAGCCCCTCCGGGACGATCGCACGTTGCCTGCCCTCGGTCTCAGCTCCCACCTGTGCCCTGCAGCATGTTCTGGCGGAGCAGGTCCCCGCTGGAGAGGTGCTTCAGCTCGAAGTGTTTGGTGATGCGCGACGACACGGTGCCCTTGCCGGAGCCCGGGGCCCCCATGATCACGGCGCGCAGCAGCCGCCCCGACGCCCCCATGGTGACGGACGGCGGCCCGAGCTGCGCAGACGCTGGGCTGCGGCCTGGCCTGCACGCTCACGGGCTCCACGGCCCCAGCGAGCTGGCAGCTGCGAGCGGGCGGTGGCCAGGGCGCCAGGCTCTCCCGGAAGTGAGCGCTGGCCACCGGGGCCGCCCCGCCCGCTGCTGCACCGCCCCTCCGCGCCCCTGCACCCCGCTCCCCTCGGCTCCACCCCGCGCCTCTCGGCATCCCCAGACCCTCTTGCCCTGTGCTGCCTGGTCCCAACCTGCAGGCTGCGCCCGAGTGCATTCTCCCGAGTGGGCAACCTCTGAGCGGTCCCTTCTACTTCTAGTCGCCCCTTGGCCACCTCTGGGTGACTGGGTTTCGTTTTCTCTGTGCTCATCTTTTTCACCCTTAGCCCTTTCTAAGAGTCAGGCCCCGTCCTACTCAGTCCCGACAGGAAGCCGGGTGCCCCATTTTGTGTCCCCTCCGCTCCCCTGGCTTGCCGGCCCCCCACCCCCTCACACACCTTTTCATGAGACAATTCTCCCTTTGCCTTCTCCCCTCTCTCTTTTCACCACATTTCCTTCTCCTCCCAGGGGTGACCTTGAACCCTTCTCGCTAAAGTTCTCATCCAGTGAAGTAGGGTCCACAGGCCGGTGAAAGTGTGTCTTATCTCCCAGAACCACTTTCAGAACCAAAAGTAGCTGCCAGGGTTACTTCGCAGAAGTCGAAAGTACTCATTCCTTCAGAAATGCATCCTTTTCAGGAAAACTTATCCAGAGCCTGTTGCTTGCCACCGTTCTTAAGGGCCTCCCAGAATGCTGTGCTGGACACACCAAGTTTCTTGGCTGTTGGCTGGACTTTTAAAAGTCCAGCACCAGAAGCAAACGAGTAAGACCATTTATAATAAATAAATAAACAAACAAACAAATAAAATAAAACAAACCAGCGGGCGGGGGTGGCACAGGCCTTTAATCCCAGCACTAAGGAGGCAGAGGCAGTCTGTCTCTGAGTTCGAGACCAGCCTGGTCTACAGAGTTCCAGGACAGCCAGCGCAACACAATGAAACCCTGTCATGAAAACAACAACAACAAAAAGAAGCAAACACCACCAACAACAAAACAAACAGAAGGTGTAGGGGAGTGGAGGGTGGGAGAGGGCTGTTTTAGAACAGGTAGCGGTGAGGCTGTGAAGCGCTGGCGTTGGCTGAAAATATAAACTGAATTGAAGACAGAGGGAGACTGAATGACCCAGGCCTACGGCAAGGCCCAACAGCGCCGAGCCTAGCATGCCCCGAGAAAAGGCGGAAGGGAAGGAGCTGAGTAGTATTTGATCTATAAAATGGACGCAGGTTAGTGGAGCAGTCAAAATGTCTATGAGTGGGCCGTGTAACACCAGGTACCAGGAAAGTGCTCAGGGAAGGCCGCCCACTGTGCACGTGGTGTGGTGTCTTTGTGCTGGGCCCAGGGAAGACAGAAAGGAGCCTCTAAAAGGAAACACCAGGTGTCCCCCCAGAGGCTACCAAATGACAGGTTCAAAACTCCTTGCAGTTTCCAAGTAGAAAGTACGTCCAGAAAAAAAGTGAGATTTACTTGCTGAGAGAGAGGACCTGATCTGGGTGGCAAGCTGAGGCCGACAGCCCTGCGCTTAGAAAGAAAACCAGAGGCTCTGACATAGTTATTACTGCACGAGAAAGACTAAAGATAAGCAAATCAAAGAGCCAGCGGGGTTAGGAAAGGAGCATGAGAGAGGCCCAAGAAAAGCAAAGGAAGGGAAGGAGTAAATAACTGGCAGGAATGGAAAGGTCTGGGCAAGACCGGGTTATGCAACACCAGACCCAGAAAACCTGATGGTGGAGAAGAGCGTCTCTAATCTCCCAAGTTGGGAACATTTGTGGTTTCAGCCCTCAGAGACACTTGAAAACACAACTTTGGAAATTTGGGTTATGAGGGGGGAAACATTCAAACAAACAGGGGATGGAGCAGCTAGGGGTCGCCCAGCACAGCAAACATACACAAGCCTGAGCGACGGTCGTACTTGACTTCTTCCCTCGGAGCTAACGTTCCGTTGGGGGTAAAAAGACAGAAGCAGACGCAGGAATATATAAAACGTCAGGTGTTCAGAAACGTAAAGCAGAGTGTGTGGGCACGTTAACAGGCCCACAGAAGCCGGCCAATTTTGGCTTCACTGAAGGCTCTTGATTACAGAGGAGTATGAGGCTGCCAAACTGGCAAGTCTCCTGGCAACCGGGCACAGGGCAGTGATTTCGCCACACATAGGCATGTATTTATGTGACTCTTTGTTTTCCTGTCTAACTCGTACCATTGGGAAGGGCAGAGCCTCATTTAAATTTTAATCTAGCAAGGGTGACCAAACAACATATGGCCAAATGTTTACACGGATTCACTTGTATCGAAGAAAGCTTCGATGAGTAGTAGGCATTCAGTAAATGCCTGTTGATGAATACTCGGGATTACTGTTCTGTCGCATCAAAGGCTGGAATATTTTAAAGCCCCAGAATGTACAGAGTGGAGCAGGGACTATAGGTATGTGTCGTAGGTTGAACTCTGTCTTCGCAAAGTGTAGAGGTGCGGTTGATGCTGTGTCCCAGTACCTCTGGAGGAAGCGCTGTAACAGACTAGTTAGGGAGATCACATTGGGGGTCTTGGTCATTTTCTTTACCAGATGCACTATGACAGCATGGGGAGAATAGTGTGTGGTGACAGGCAAGAGACTGGAGCTAAGGGCTGCGAGTCAAGGAACACCAAACAGCATTGGCAACACCGTGCCTAGAGAAAGGCATGGAACTGTTTTCTTAGAGGCCTTGCGAGAACTCCCAACCCGCCAATGCCTTGCTTTGCGCTCAGAATCTCCCCAACTATGAGAGAAAACATCTCTTTCCTTTAAGCTCCACATTCCCTGGCCATTTGTTACAGCAGGTCTAGGAAGTGAATCTACTTGTTCCAGAAATGGGAGCGCATTGTCCCAGCATGAGTCAGGTGAGCGAGAATGAGGGATAGACAGGTTTAGCATCTGGGAAGCTGCAATTGGCATGGGGTTGGGTAGAGAGACAGAAAAGAAGCCAGAAGAGGAGGGTGTGTCTGGTACCTATTGCAGTAGAAGCCGCCCCAGCCTTTGCTGGCTTAGCACAGCATGGTTTAGTTTCTCACACTGCTTCCTCGTGGCTTACCTGCTGGGCTGGATGGCTACAACAGCCTGGAGAGATAGATGGGTATTTGTCCATCTGCTCATCAGTCTCCTGATCTTCAGAGTCTATGGAGTCTGGCTTCCTGGCAGGGTAGTGTGTTGATGAAATCCTTCTTACATCTCTTCCTGCCTCATTTTTGTGATACCTCATTGGCCAAAGCAAGTCCCATGGCCACGCCAGGGTATGTGTGTGTACTCGTGAACATAGATACAGAGATGAGTCATAAGAAACCATTAATAAAATAATCTGGCTCAGAGACTCTTTTTAATTATCTATTACAACTTAACCAATTATCCCAAAACTTAGAAACTTAAAACAATAATAGCTAGCCGGGCAGTGGTGGTGCACGCCTATAATCCCAGCAGTTGGGAGGCAGAGACTGGGAGGGGGAAATCTCTGAGTTTGAGGCCAGCCTAGGCTACAGAGTGAGTTTCAGGACAGCTGAAACTACAAGGAGAAACCCTGCCTCGGAAAAGCCCCCCCCCCCAAAAAAAAAAACCAACCAACAACAAAAACAATGATAGCTACTGTCTCTTAGTTACCATACATCAGGAATGCAGACCCAGGCACTGCTCAGGTGCCTCTGGTTCAGAGTTTCACAAAATTCTTGAGCAAAGATATTGACTGAGGCTACTATCTTCTCCAATCACAGCCTAGAGAGGATTCACCTCCAAGCGCCCACCCCACCCCCACCCTCCCCCCCCCCCCCCCCACCCCCACCCGCCATGTTGCTGTTGGTAAATCTCAGGTCCTCAGTGACTATTGGTCAAAGAGAGCAGTTTCAATACTATGAAGAGGAGTGAGAATATAGCTCAGTGGGAGAGTAATTCTCTGATGAGATGAGGATCTGCCTGTGACTCTGGAACACAACAAACAAACACACCCGCCTGAGCAAAGGAAATACATTACCTGTTCTCTTGAGCTAATGTTCTGTTGGGGAGAGATGATGAACACAAACACAAAAGTATAGGAAATGGCAGGTGTTTGGAGAAAAATACAGACGAAAAAGGAGAGTAGAGTTAGGATGAGGCCGCTGCTGTTATACAAAGAGAATAGGAAGTGTTGTCATAAAGGTCAACGATTGGAGACCTGAGAGCAAGCATCCAGATAATCGAAGGGAGAATGCTCTGGAGAGAGAACGAGGAAAGCCAAAGAAAAGGCACTGAGAGAGAAGGAAGCTTGGGCTTTCAAAAAGAAAAACTAGAAACCAGTGTGTCTGCAGGAAAGAAGCGAGGAGAAAAACAGAGGAACACAGGGGATAGTGAGAACCCAGATCCCTTACGGGGGTAAGTGGGACTGTCCAAAGATGGCCACGGTGTGCCCCCATCTTACAGTCCTTAGGCCACAGTGTGCCCCCATCTTACAGTCCTGAGGCCACGGTGTGCCCGTATCTTACAGTCCTTAGGTTCTTCTCACTCGTGATTTTGACACTTCTCCACTGAAGACTTCAGTCTTTGTCCCCTCAACCTCTGAACTGGATGAGCTCTTCTTCTGATGAACTGAGTGTGGTGTAAGGGATACTCTGTGACTTCTAAGGCTAGGGCATGAACGATGATGCAGTTTCTGACTCTTGGCTGCAACGCTCGGTTTGGAAACCTGCAGCCGCCGCATGTGAGGACACTGCAATGTAAGAAAGCCTAGCCCACGTGGAGAAGCCACCCAGAGGGACCCCGAGACTGCCCGAAGAAAGCAATGTTTCGTCCTCTCTGGTACAGCTTTGGCCATCTGGCAGCACCGGCACAAATCACATCTAGTTTAAACCCTCCAGCTGAACTCTTCCCAAATGCCTGGCCCACAAGCCCTGTGATGAAAGAAAATGATTGTAACGATTTTAGTCTTAATGTGAGCAAGAGTGATGATGGCTTGAACAATGGTACAGGTGATGAGAACTGGGTACCTGGGTTCAGTTTCTGAAAATAATCTCAACTTAAGCTGGGTGTGGTGATGT